GTGATCCACCAACAAAAGCTTGATCTTAGCAAACATTCCTTCTCCCTCCAGTGATTTTCCAGTATCTTTTCATTTCAATCAGTAACTAGTCTGTCCTTGAGCCAGCAACTTTGCTGTGCCACAAATCTTTATCTTACACCAGAGACTTTATAGCCTAAGGAAAATTTCTGGTCCTCGGAGCTGTGATTCCTTTGCAGGCCTCTCTCCTTCTAAAGTTTGTTCTTTCTACTATCAGTGCTGTCTCTTGAATTATCAGCCTAGAGGAACAAGATATTATTTATAAAAAGCTAAATATCAATGAAAGCCACAAATTACAGTTCCGTAGGACAAAGAGATGCCACATAGCTTGATATGACTTATTGCCTAGTACAGATATAGAAACCAACTGATAAAAGATTGAAAGAATGAAAGCCTCACTTGGAGTAGAAAGTTCAGAGAAGGCTCTGGGACAAGTCTCTGCTTCCTTTAAACAATGGGTAGCATTCAAATGGAAGTTAGGATGTGGACAAACATCTTTACCTTATTCAGGCGAAGAAACAGGGGTCTGGTTTTAAAACATCTGGGCTGGCCCAGTGGCTCACTCGGGAGAGTGCGGCGCTGGTAGCGCCGAGGCCGCGGGTTCGGATCCTATATAGGGATGGCCGGTGCGCTCACTGGCTGAGCGTGGTGCAAACCACACTGTGCCGAGGGCTGCAATCCCCTTACCGGTCATGGAAAATAAATAATTTTTTTAAAAAAACCATCTGATGGCAAGTCTCTGCTTCAGGAGGCAGATGGGGAACATTTTTCCAATCTGTCCCCATTTATTAGGCCAATATTAAAACAACTGATTTTTTTAAAAAATATAAAAATACTTCCATGAGACACCTTACAAAGCTGTGGCATAAGGTGATCTGCAGTGGACCTGGGCTCAAGAAACATGGATTAGAGAGATTAGAAGCTGGCTCTGGCTCTTTCCACTGTGTGCCTTCAGGAGGTGCCTCCTGCAGAGGGGCAGCCCTTGTGGAGGGACAGGAGCAAGCCAGCACCTGATAAACTGCAGTTAATATGATCTGAAATAGGTTTTCAGAGAGGAAATCAGTACATGAAGATGTCATCGTGTGATAAGGTGTTGACAGGGTCCTGTCTAAAGATACTAGTCCAGAATTTAAAAAAAAAAAAAAAGTAAAATAAAAAGTTTTCTCCTTTTCTCATTCTCCCTGCACAAGCATGCACTGCTTCACAAAATATGTTAGGAGCAGAATGGTCTTGGGGCAGCTGACCCCAGCATTGAGGGGTAGCAGTGGGGAACGAAGACAAGGCTGGCCAAGAGGCAGGCTGGTGGATGGGAAAATTAGAGCAGGTTTCTCCTCTGAAGCTCAACTTGAGATAACTATACGTAATAACTTCGTATAGCATACATTATACGAAGTTATACGATTTAAATGTTTCCTGATACCACTCTGCCAATTTCCAGGTAATTTCCCAAGTACCAGATTAAATTCTATCTCCTTTCTAAATTACCTGAAGCAAGAACATGCTTTTTTGTCTCCTTGAGGTTTAGAACTGTCCCATCTTCCCCACAACAACGTCTCTTGTCTACCACTGTAAGAGCCCTCCTCAAGAGGTTTCCATCTATATACAGCTCTATTTATCTGCTGTGACACTTATTGGACCCTGCCCTATCCATAAGATCAGGGATCATATCAGCAGAACATGAGGTCTTTTACACACACACACACACACACACATGCACACACACACACACACACACACACAATTTCCCAAATCACACAGATTCTACCACATTGGTCTCTACCTACTTCACCTATGCCAAATTGCAGACTATCAGTACATGAGGGGCAGTTGGTGGGGAGACTGCCTAACCTTTGGGTCAGCTATGTGACTATTCTGCCCTATAACCAAGTTATGAGGAAACCCTATTTAGACACACAAGAATCCCATGGAGCCTTGTCAGTAACGTATATGGAAGTGAAATGAACTAGTCCACATACTAACCAATCCAGGCCATAAATTCAGAGTATATATAACCAAGTTATGAGGAAACCCTATTTAGACACACAAGAATCCCATGGAGCCTTGTCAGTAAAGTATATGGAAGTGAAATGAACTAGTCCACATACTAACCAATCCAGGCCATAAATTCAGAGTATATACCATTTAGCAGAGACAGCAAGCTGTAAATGGCAGTGAAGGGCAAAAGTTAATTGAACTACTCTGTTCTTGTCACAAGTGGAAAGTAGCCACTACCTGAGACAAGATGGCTGCCCTGAAGTTCTCTATCACAGCCAAGAGATCGTAGCCTAAGCTCTGCAAGGGCTTGTGGGTGAGAGGGAATCATACACAGATGACCAATTTTTTTATGGTTCACAGCCATTCAAAGTGAAATTCAGCAGCTGTTCAGGACAAGTGACCACTGTAACTGTTGTAATATAACCTACTAAATAGAGAGGGAATTGCATCAGAGCAAGAGGTGAGCCGTGATTATCGGCGGGTGAGT